GTTATCTAAACTTTAAAAGAACTTTTTATATCTTTAGAAAAAATTATTAAATAAACTAAAACTTTAAAAATTTTCAATTTATTACTAATATATATAAACTATATATATAAAATAAAATATTATAATATAAACCTTATAGATTATTATAACTAATACTAATACCTAAAATACTATAGTAAAAAATTATAATTAACTTTATTATCAAGCTACTACTATTAAAGGACTTTACTATAAAAGTTAAATATAATAGTATTATAGTAGTAGTAAATTAACTTATAAAGTATATTTACTTTATATTTTATAATAAAGTAATATAAGTACTATAGTTTACTAAACTATTTTTATAAATAGTAATAGTAAACTATAATCTATTAGAAAAAATTAATTTTAATAGAAGAAAATTATTTATCTTAAAATTTTAATAAAGCCTATTAAATAAAATAAAAATTAATTATAAACTTTTAATAGCTTACTACCTAAAAATATAAAAGTAAGTTAAATAAATAAACTAGAGACTAGAAATATACTTAAAATATTATATTAACTAAAAATAAGATAATTAAATATTATTATTACTTTTAACTTAAAAAGTTTATAATACTAATATATTAGAAAATATAAAGATATTACTATTCTATATTAACTATAATATTAAATTCTAAGTAGAATTTAAGCTAATAAGAATTAAGATATAAGTAAAATAAACTATCTTTATAGTAAATAAAATAAAGAAACTTTATAAGTAATTAATAGAGAAACTATAGTTTATCTAATAATAAATAAACTACTATACTAACTTAAAATAAATTAAAAAACTAACTTTTAAAAAGAAAAGTAAAACCTAATTACTATAGAAAAAACTAAAAACTAGAGACTTTTAAATTAAAACTATATAACTAAATAATAAACTAAACTATAAAAAACTAAGATTTTTTAAAATTAAAAGAAAAGTTTTAGAAGTTAACTATAAATTAAAATTATTAAAAAATATAAAAAGATATCTAATATTTTATATAATACTATTTAAACTAATATATAATAATATACTTATAAAAGAATCTATTATAATTAAACTTAAAGAAGATATTTAAAAAGCTAAAAAGATTTTTAATTTTATAAATAATAATAATAGAAAAGTTAAATATCTAATTAAATAAAAAATTTTAAATATAATAAAAATATTTAAAAACTTATTAAATATTTAATAGAAAACTAGTAATTTCTTATAATATTTTACTAAAAAAACCTAAATTAACTAAAAAACCTAAATCTATAAAATTACTTTCTAAACCTAATAAAGACTAGTTAATAAAATCAAAGACCTTAAGAAATTAGATATCTTCTATTATATAAGATTTTTAGATAGAAAGGTAGATATTATCCTCTTTATCTAAACCCTAAATCCCTCTCCTAAATATTTTAGAACTTTTAATTTTAATATTTTTCTTTATCTAATAAATATATATTAAATAATTTATTACTATTAATAGTTATATCTAAAAAATAAATAATATCTTTTCTACTTTAATTTCTTTCTTTTCTAGTTTCTTTTACTTTTATAAAAAATAGATAACTAAAAAATAGTTAATAATTAAATAAAAAGTTTTAAAAAGTAAAGACTTATAAGTAAAAACTATAAAAACCATATTATATAATTAACCCTACTATATATATTCTATATAGTAAGAGGACTTTTTACTTATTATATATACTTTATCATTTTTAAAATAATATATATATAATATCTTAATCTTAATATTTAATAACTTAATTATATTAGCTAAGTTTAAATAATTATAAGAAGACTTAGAAAAAGATCTATAAATATAGTTAAATATAGTAATAATTATAAAGGAGTTTAAAGATTAGTAGAAGAAAAGACTTATAAAGTAAAAAATTAATAAATAAAAAGGTTTACTTATAAGTCTTTAAAGATAAAGACTAAAGGAAGGGAAGTATTATATTATAATTAGATAGTAAGATTAAATAATTAAACCTAATAAAAAAAAACTATAGAATAATAAGATTATAAGAAGATAGATTATCTATATTTATAATAATCTATAAATAATCTAGATTAATTAAGATTATAGTAAACTAAAGTAATCTTAAGAAAAGTTTAAAAGGAAATATCTATATAAACTATAATCTCTATTATATATCTAGTTTATCTTTTAAGATTCTTTAATAGTTAATTTAAATATAACTATATCTCTATACTTAAATATATACTTTTTACTTATATCTTGTAAATACTATTTAATTACCTTACTTTACTATTAATAAATAATTACCTTAATCTTATTACTAGTTATATCTATCTAATACTATTAATAGGCTAGTATTAAGATTATAATAATTCTCTAGTAGTTAATTTAAATATAACTATACCTTTATACTTAAATATATACTTTTTACTTATATCTTATAAATATTACTTAACTACCTTACTCTATTACTAATAGATAATTACCTTAATCCTATTACTAGTTATATCTATTTAATATTGTTAATAGGTTAGTGTTAGGATTGTAATAGCTTATAGAAACTTAGTACTTCTTAGAAAACTTATTTAATAATATAGGTTTTAATTTAAAGAGTTTTAAGACTTCCTCTAATTTATATTTAAGTTTACTTCTTTATAGAAAAAATCTTTAAGATTTAAAAAGATATATAATTACTTAGAAAAAAGTAAATAGAAGGATTTTTAAAAAAAAACTTATCTATTAAGACTATAAAAGGGAAATTTATTAATTCTATTTATATTAATAATATTATAATTAAAATAATAAAGTCTTAGTTTTAATATTTATAATTACCTAATATTAAGAATATTAAATAAGAAAATAAATAGAATATAGATAAAGTAAAAGTAATAGAAAGCTTTATTAATAATAAATTTATTTTTAGAAATATTAAAAAGTATTTAATCTAAAAGAAATAATTTAGTTCCTAGCTATAGATATTATTTATTAAGTATATCTTAACTACTAGCTAAACTCTTTCTTTATTAATTATTTTTAAAGGAAAATTAGTTTAATAATAGTAATTCCTTTTAGATTTAGCTTTTTTTAAAAACTAGTACTTTATAATAATTAATAATAAATAGATAACTAATAATATTATTTTAAAATAGCTTAAAAAGATCTTTATTTTCTATATTAAGCTAGCTTACTATAAGAAAGTTTATTTTCTTATCTTAGATAATTATAAAAACTATATTACTAAGGAATTTATATATAAATACTTTTAATATAATATCTACTTTCTTTTCTTACTTTTATATATATCTTATATCTTCTAATTATTAGATTTAGCTATATTTAGCTCTTTAAAGATAATATATTAAAAAAAATTAATTTTTAAATTTTAATTACTACTTTTATAATAATAAGGAAAAAAAACTTACTTTCTTATTATTATAAAGCTTAAAATAATATTATAATTAATAAAAATATTAAAAGTAAGTTTATAATATCTAGACTTTAGTTTATAAATATAACTAAGCTTTTTCTTAATTTTCTTATTTTTTAAAAATTAATTTTATTATAAAAATAACTTTCTAAAAATAAAATTTCTATTTTTAAAGCTTTTTAGATATCTATTTTAATTTTCTAATTACTTTTTATAATTTTTAATAGTTTTATTATAGTATAGTTAACTTTAAGGAAGTCTAAAGACCTTTAGGAATATATATATTAATCCAATTTTATTAATTAATATATTATTATATAATATTAGCTATTTTAAAAGGTTTTTAAAGCCTTTAATAAAAAAAATACCTAATTAGCTATAGCCTAAGCTAGAATTAAGGTTCTAGAAAGCTAAATTATAGTAATAAAGTCTAAAAAAAAGAAGAGGGTTGAAATAAGTTCTAATTTAAAGTTTACTACTATTAGGGATATATAGAGGTTAAGGGGAAATGATTTAGAAGAAGAAATTATTTCTATTGGAAGTAGTGATGGTGAAAGTGATAGTTTAGTAGCTTCCTATATTGAAGTAAGGTGAAATGTAGAAGAAATAGAAGATAGAAGATAATAGTGGCTATTTGGGCTGTTGGAATTTGGGGTAGCTGAAAGTGGGGGGTGGCTGAAAGGGGGGGTCCAACTTATCGGTATCAAACACCTTCAGCTTCCCTAATTTTGAGGCGAATAAATTCAATTCATCGGAGCAGGCTTTGAGATGAGTATGAAGAGCGTCATCGGGGGCGGTTGCTGTCATCGTTTGGTCTCGTTCAAGCTGTTCCAATATTTCTTGCAGCGAAGCAGCCACTTTTGAAGCGCGGACGACATTTGCAGGACCATCCTTGACACCTCTGAGGGCGGAGGATATGATTCTAACAAGCGTGATGACGCTCGTACCTGCTTCCATGTTGATCGGAATATAGCCGCCCAAAGTCCTAGTGATCTGGCCAAGAGCCTTTCGACAAGGAGGAGAGAGATGATGAACAAATGGGTTTATACGATGGGATGGAAAGGTCAGGGGAGGAAATACCTTTTCCCCCGCTCCATATTCTAGGCGAACTTGTTGATCAGCATGAAGTCCGCCTCTTGGAACATGAGGCTGGGGCTGAGCAAGCCATGGTCCATGGAGTCCAATCGCAATATGCCCCGAAGGTCGAACCTGCATGGAACCCTTGTCACCGCCCTTTCAAGTAGAGAAACCAGCCCCCATTCATTCATGCATGTTACTTGTATTTTGCTTTGCCACATACCGACCACCTCAAAAAAGCACTCCGATTCCCCAGTCACTCCCAACTCTTGCCCCGCACCCAAACTTAGCTCGAGCTCCAGCCTGGCATACAAAACATAATAGCTCAAGGCTTTTGAAGAGGATCGTGAGCAGGGGTGGAACGGTCATCATAGTTCAGTTCTCCATTCTCACTAACCCCCCACCCCCCTGGTTTAGTGCCTTACGAGCTGCCCGGGCGCTGACGCTCTGTCCGTTGCTTCGCCTCCGCCTCCGCATCCAACAACAAAAGAGCCTAGTCGGAGGTTGAAATGGAAGCGCTCGCAGCCATCGCTTTCGCCGGAAATATCGCTCAGTTCGTCGAGTATTCAATTAAGGCCATTCTAAAAACGTCCCGACTACTCGAGAGTGCGAACGGCGCATGGGTAGAAAACACCGAGTTGGAGGGCATCGTGGACAGCGTTAAGAAATCTCTGCAGGGTGTTCACGAGTCGAGAGATACCAGCAACAATGGCGCCGTGCTTGACCCCATTCTGGAGAATCTCACAGCAAGCTGCCTTGCTGTGTCCGGTGAGATCATGGCCATTCTAGATCGTCTCAAGCTCGGGGATCCGGGTGCCGGGTTCTTTCAAGGCATGCAGAAAACGGCGAAGAGTCTCGTGAAGAGGTCCGAATTGAAAGATCTATGCGACAGACTGCAACTCCTCCGAGATCAAATATCTGCTCACCTACTCGTGTTAATCCGGTGGGAAACTACCTACTTACGTGATCGCACTATTTCTAGCCGATTGCTAACCGATCCAAAGTGAGCAGCAGGAAGATCACGCTCGGAATTTCCAACGCTTCACCTCGTCGAGCGACGAGTTTCACGAGTCGATGCTCAACAAGCTTCACGAAATCACGGACTATCTTAGCTCGATTTCAGAACAGAAAGCCACCGAGGAGGTACCTGCCCGACCGTCTAGGCGTCGTGGTTTGCGGCCGTTGGCGCAGAAAACCCCCAAACCCGCCAAGTCGCAGCAGACGCTCTGGAACGCTAAACCGGACGAGGTCCAACGTTTGCTTCGACCAGAAATTATGCTTTCGGTCGACAAATACGTCTCTCTAATGGTGGAAGAACTGGAGGAGCAAAAGCGAAAAACCATCTTGGATACGCTGCACTTCAGTCAAGTAAAAGAGAGGGAGTTTGCTATCCCCGATGCCCATAAGAACACATTTCAGTGGATTTTCAACGAGGATAGGAATAATTTTGTTGCGTGGCTTCGACAGAGCGACGATATCTACTGGATCACCGGAAAAGCCGGATCTGGAAAATCTACACTCATGAGGTTCCTCACGGACCATCGAGATACGAGGCTCTATCTGAAAGAATGGGCTGGTGAGAAAAGCCTTCTAGTGGCGAAGCACTACTTTTGGAGCCCTGGCACTGCTATTCAAAGGTCTCAAGAGGGTCTGTTTCGAACCCTTCTCTTGCAGATCCTCAACCAAAGACCCGATCTCATTCCCATCGTGTGTGCCGATCGGTGGGAAGCGCCGTTTGCGGACGCCTTTAATCCCTGGAGTCGGGGGCAGTTGATGGCAGCGTTTGCTAAGCTGGGTAGTCTGGAGACGCTGGACTGCAGGATCTGCCTTTTCATCGACGGCCTAGATGAATATGACGGTGATCATACGCAACTGGTGAGCATAATCCGACAAGTTGGGAGTTCGGACAACATTAAAGTCTGCGCATCAAGTCGGCCATGGCTAGAGTTCTTGGATGCATTTCAACATAGCAAGTGGAGCCTACGTCTAGAGGACCTTACCTACGACGATGTCTGCAAGTACGTCCGCGACAAGCTGAACGACGACGTACGCTTCAGCAGGCTGAAGCAGGACAGGAAGGCCGCAGCCGAGGGGCTGGGATTGGAGATCACCAAACGCGCCAATGGAGTCTTCCTCTGGGTCTTCTTAGTCGTCCGCTCCCTCTTACGAGGTCTGCGCAACGAGGACGACATCTCGGATCTTCAACGACGATTGAGGGAGCTGCCGAACGACCTGCGTGAGTACTTTGACCGCATGCTCGACACCATCGACAGCGTCTACAAGGAGAGGACGGCCCGGCTCTTTATCACCATGGCCTACGCCAGGACCACGTTTCCCGTCATAACATTCTACTTCATGGATCTCGGCGATGGCACTGCCCGAGGCGAGTTCCTACGTAACTGGCCGGACGTGGATATCGATGAGACCGAAGTTCTGGGGACCAAGAGACGCCAGCTGATCGCGCAGTGCAAGGACCTGATCTCCATCACACCCGATCCTGGTGCTGGGATTCTATTTTCCGAGCGCGTCGGCTTCTTACATAGAACCGTCGTCGACTACATACACACACCGGAAATACAGTCGAGGCTAATACCAATCGCCGGTACCGATTTCAGTGTCAACAAGATCCTACTAGAGACCAATTTAGGCCAGCTGAGGGCTCTGATTCATCTGCACGCTCGGACATACATCTATCCACATCTCTGCCAGTGGATTCTCGGCTGCCTATACTATGCTCACATCCTCGAAGTGATATCTGGGAATCCCGAAACAGACGCTCTTGACGAACTGGAAACTATTATTACAGGCGCGTTCGTGAAGTGGGGCTTCTCCCACGCCATGGTCACTTTCTTCAAAAAGCCTGGTATCATGTCTTTCCTCCAATTGGCCTGCCAGTGTGATCTCGCATCGTATGTTTGCAAGAAGTACCCGCAGTTAACGCCAAGTCGTTTAGATACCCTCGCACCTGGATGGAGGATTCTATTGGAGATCCAGCGGCAATCTACTTTCAAGTTGTGTGAACGAGAGATGACTGAGGATCTTTATAGTGACTGGAGGTTAGGTCGCCAGCTTAAAGTTCCATTCCTATCGCAGCAGGAGGCACAGTCTCTGGAGGAGAAAGTCCAGGCTCCAATACAGGGGCAAAACGGCGCCCCAGTGAAGTCCAGAAAGGTGTCCTGGCGAGCATTACTTAAAAGTTTGAAATATAAATAACTTAGATGCATAATCGATAGTAATACTAATATGGCTAGCAATAGGCTGCCCTTCATGTTAATACGACAGACAAAGTAGGAAATCATCACCATTGGATAGACTACTAGCAATATATCTACCTATACGAAGAGAAGGGTAGCCACTATTTGTTTCCTCAAAATCCTGTAGGCAAAGGTAGTTGTTACTCTTTCCATCTATGGTGTCTAGACATGAAGGCTGCTCATTGTACAGTAAAACTTCCCGAGGCGCAATATAGAACGAACACAATGGTCCTTCCTTTTAGGCTTTTATCGGGAGTCAGTCTTCCTCGTAGATTTGATAGTCGGCCAAAAAGCTTGGACGATGGAGGATCTTGCATATCTGTTGGCTCAGAAGGTTGAAAATTGGGCGTCGCTATTATGGCACCAACCAGTGATGCAACGGCGAGCCCAGGACTGGAGGAAAACCTACCTGCCGTCCTGCTTTGAGATCCCAGGCAACAAACTTGCATCTCTGGAGATTACTTTTTTGGTTACAAGCGAGGTTTAGGTGTCTCCGGAGGCACTTCGATTGCCGCTATTGGAGCCAATGCCTCGAGGTAGAGGCTTTCGTTCTATCACAAAACGGGGTAAGTGGAAACATGGGACGAGGTGAGGCTAGTCCAGAAACTCGAACTCAAGATCCTATTTTTTTTTCGGAGTGACTTGAGCGTTCTGAACAGGTCCGGAATTGAGCGAGATAATGCCCTGGTGGATAGGAATGTTTATGCTCGTGAACCCAAGCATCTTTCCATGTCCACATGAAAGGTCAAAGTCACCATCCTTCCCCACATCTACACATCGCATACATGTCGCAGAGCGGAATTGCGTGACAGGGCCTTTCCAAACCTCACTCAGCATTTCCATCCTATACAGCCAATCATACCCTAGCCAAGAGGACTAGGTTGATGGTGTCCACTCAGACCGGGGTAGGATGCCTTTCGTATTCACCATCACGATACGAGGCCGCACGATCGATCTCAATTCTAGATCGAGATTAGGCCAAGTTCTTTCAGTACGAAATACGAAGGCAAGCGCGCGCTTACTAGACCCCTCGACTTCAAAGCCAAGACTTCAATCATAATAGACCACTGCTGTCTTAACTCACTTCTCACGTTCCCATTTCAAAGACCCTATTTTATTTTGCTTCACTTAATTTTGTTCATCGTTTCTTTCTTCAAGCGAGGATATGGAGATGAGATTTCTTATTTCAACATGTTGTCCCTTCTCCTATTAAACACACTATTTTCGGTTCATCATATTCAATCTAAAACTCAACGCTTCATCAAACACATAGGGCAAAGAACAACAGACGCAAGAAATGGGATGACCCGATCATATATAAAAGGAATTAAACAAAGTGGATATATATGGTATAAACACCCCCAGCTCATCACAAGGACCGTCACCTCATGTCCTATTATCCAACCCCTCATTACCGAACAACAACAATGCTCCCGAGGGAAATAAGAAGAGCCATCTTATTTTCCTTGACGTCTAGTTCCTGCTCTTTTACCACTCGCCACCAGGCATGGCAATAGATGATCCAACATCATCGCCACCCTTGCCATTCAACACGATAACGGCATTAATAACACCTGCGAAACCCTCGCCGGCAATGAGACCAGCAGCCGCAGCATAACCGTATGTGTCGAAGTTCTTAGGGAACTTCTTAATCCACCACCAAGCGGTAATGGCACCGAAGAGCACGGCGTTGGCATAGCCGCTGTCGACACCGAGGACCCAGGCGACACCGATGGCCATCCAGTTGGGGAGCCAAGCTCGGTACTTCTCACGGGGGCCAACGAGGTAGAAGTTCTTGAAGAGGGCCTGGAAGACGGTGACACCGCCGATGACGCCCGAGAAGATGGCGCTGGAGAGGGGAATGGGGATCTTGGGGTTGGTAACGGCCTCAGCGACGGCGCGCCAGGCGAAGACGGAGGGAGCCTTGAAGGGACAGTTGGGGTCGCCGAGCAGCTCCGGCTTCCAGATGCAAGGATAGGCAGCCATGAAGAGGACGAAGATGCCGGGGGCAAGGAAGATGGAGACGATGGTACCGAGGGCCTGGGCGTAGAACTGCAAGTGCGGAGGAGTGCGGAGGAGGAAACCCGTACGGAAATCAGAGGTCAGATCGGACGCGACGTTGGCGGTACCGGAGGCGATGCTACCAGCGATGAGGTTGATCCTTTGGGCGCCGGCGATGTCGTGGTGAGCGATGGGTTGGGTAATACCACCATAGACGAGCTGAGAGGCCTTGGCCGAAGCGGTCAGAGGAGTGACATCAGTGACGGCACCGCCGTGGATGGAGAGGAAGGCGAAGATAAGACCGAGAATGCAAGCGAAGAAGGCAAGGCCGGCGTTCATGTGGAACTGGAAATGGCCGATAACGCAAGCGGCGCAAGCGATGACGATGGTACCAGACAGCCAGATCCAAGTGGGGACCTGTTGGCTCGGGGGAGCAAAGTCCTCAACGAGGCTGTCGCCTTCGGTGAGTTTGCCGGCCTGGCGGGAAAGATAGGGGCTGGACTTGCCGCGGGCCTCGAGCTTGTCGTTCAAGGATCGGCAACCTTCCCGGTAAGCAAACTTGATGCCGTCATAGAGGACACGACCGTGGATGAGGAACTCAACCATGCTGTAGACCACGAGGGCCATGACACCGGGCCAGAGCATCCAGTAGCGGGGGGAGGAAACCCACCCCGGCTTACCGATATTAGTCATCGAGTTGAAACTCGTCCAAACGGACCACTTCTCGTCTTCGTAGGGCTGCTGACCGACACACACTCCGTACTTGACAAGGAGGGGACCGATGAGACCCCAAGCAACGACGGTACCGCCGAACCAAGAGAAAGCGGTATTCAGGCCGACGAGCATTCCGGAGCCGAAGAAAGCAGGAGTGAGGAGGATGTACCAGCCCCAGTTGTCAATGTTCTGTGCCCAGTTGGTGTAGTCGCTCCAGATGTAGAACCAGGTGAAGATGTGCCACTCGCGCAGGATACCGAGAGCGTACTGGGAGGTGACGGTGTGGACAACGGCGCCAACGAAGGTGGCACTGAGGACCTTGATCTTCTTGACGGCGTCTTGCGCACCGGAACCGACGGCGTGCATGGATCGGATTGTCACGGCAGTGGCGGTAGCTGTTGAGGGTAGATAACGTTAGGCTGAACCTGCTCAGATCCCGCACATGGAAGGGCAATGGTACTTACGACTGGGGAAGACGAGGTTGAGGTCACGGGCAACGTTGATGATGAAGAACTTTCGCAGCGGCACAGCAGCGAAGAGACCGAAGAGGGCGCAGACAATAGTAATGGTGAGAATGCGACCAAAGTCCTTCTTGGGATCGTCAGAGAGAAGGTTGAGCTGGTACATGGCGGGGAAACCGGCGACGAAGACACCACCCATGCCACCGGCACCTGTGGCAGCGGCCTGGATAATGGAGTTCTCTTGAGGACCGAAGAAACCGGAAAGAATGGGGACGGAGATCTTAGAGACCAAGACGACGATGGCGTAACCAAAAATGGCACCGAACATGTTGGCGGAAAAAGTGAAGCCAGTCTTCAGACCTATAAGCGTAGGGCATTCTGTCAGACCTTATTCACGAAGCACAAGATGTATTTGGCGTGGTACAGACGGAGCATGGCCCACCGCAGCGGCGCTCTCCACCTCGCCCAACAGGCCGGATACTCACCAAGGTAGACGTTGGACGCGTTGACCAACGAACCAAGAATAATTCCAACAATAACGGCACGGACAGTCAATGGGTTGTCCTCGGGAGGGAGGCCCTTGAGGGGCGGGAAGGGAGTGAAGAGGTCGTGGACTACATCGTCGCCGTCCTCCTCGGTCTTGAGGTCGTCCGTCTGGCTGTGAGGAAGGTCATACTTCTCATCAAACGGCGCAGCCGCATTCGTTGCGGGGGCCGCCATGGTGGAGGAGATGGTGTTGTGTGTCGGCGGATTGATGCTGCCCGGCTGTTTAGATCTCTCAATGAAGAGGTGGAAACAAGACTAGGCAGAGACCTTGAGTCGACTCAACTCTGCTTTGGCAATCTGACGGGATGCAGAATGAAATGGTTGTAGAGCAGGGCAAAAAGAACTGAGGGAACCGGGGGAGTGGGAGCTCCTTATGTGTGGGAATCCTTGCCCAAGCATCCGGAGCAATATATCGATATTACACAGGGTAGGCATGCGGCAGGATAAGGTATTACGGCCGGCACCACCTCGCCCTCGTGCTCGCGACGGGCATGACGACAAAGGTGGAAACTAGTACTTTTGGTACATGGATATAAAGTGTACCCCGCACTGCTGCCAATCGCATCGAGCAGTACTATCGAGCTTTGGCGGGTCGGGGGCTTCAGATACACTAGGTACGAAGTCAATGGGAGGTAAAATGGGGGTGGATGGTGTTATTCGCCAAGCGGGCGGAAAATAGCAACAGGATAATTGCGATATTGGCAGGGAACTTTCCAATATGTTTCTGGCAGGTGGGAAGCGTTGGGGGGAGGTTGTGCTGCGCTGCACCTAACCCAGCAAATCGAACCCACTCCCCCCAAGTCGTACCATAGAAAAAGGGCCCCCTCCACTGAGATTAACCTCGCAATTTGTCCCTCGATGCAGGCTTGATGCGGTGCAGCAGGTGCAGCACCCGATCCCGATGGCGACAAAGGCGCGACAGATTGTGTTCTTTGGGGAAATGGATCAGCAAAAGTTCCCAATTGTCCGTGTCCAGCGTGTAAGGGTCCTTTCCCGTATCGTCTGTAGCGAGGTGGTAGTTGAGCAGAGTGCATCCCTGGGCTCTTTGGTGTATCCAGGGGAAGAGCAGCGCGGCGCACGAATCAGGAGACAGATCAAGTCCAAGATAGTAAAAACCGTAAAAGTGCAGGGGACAAGCGCGCAGTGGCACTTTTGAAGGAGGGTCTGGTACCGAGAGCCAAGAGGCTACATCGCGGCGCCACCACCGGCACAGCTTCCTAGCTTGGACAGCTTCCCACATGATGGGCGTGAAATGACAGCGCCCATCGGAGCTCGGTATCAGGTACAGTTGTATTTGCCACGGACCGTATGTGGCTCTAGGTATGATTTACAAGCATCGCTCTCCAGATTTTGGCTGGGGAAATCACGTGGCTTGTGGGAGGGACCCGACAGCAACAGCTCAGTCGATGTTTCCTCCGATTTAGGTCCTTGAGCATGTTTTGTACCCCTGTGCGGGGCAGGCTAGTGAGCAAGTCAAGTGCGATCAACACTCCTATCGTCACAATACACACAGCTCACAGCTCACAGCTCACAGCTCGAGTCGACCCGTGCTTGTAACAAATGACGGCCACAACTCGAGAGTGTCCCTAAAAAGTGAAAGACAAGGTGACCGAGGGAATGGGGAAGGAGCCTAGGAACACACTCTTTGGCATATTGCAAAGTACGAAGGAGGTAGTCAATTCATGCAGATGATAGGGAAGGAGCATGGAACTTTTTTTTAATTGGTGTGTGCTAACGACACACACACAAACAGTCCACCCAAGCACTTGCCTCTTATGGTTTTCGTACCCTGCTGTCGATCAAGCCGTGCTCCCTGCTTTACGAAGTATCTGCGGTTGTGTCGAAGGGCACTGCTGATTGGATATAACCACGGGACGAGATGGGTATTTTCTCGGCAAATTACATGACCCACTCTTTCACGTGTACTTCGTGTACTTCGCGGGAGGAGATAAGGGAGGGAGTGTGGCAATATGTAGCACCATCCCCCCAGTCAGGTCCTGTCAGTGCCGCTGTCAGCGGTGGAAGCTTCTGAAGCTTCTGACACCCGCGCTATTGTCAATTTGATGCTAACTCTCTTCTCTCGGAACATCGGCCAAGGTAGCTGCATGATTTCTTCCCTCTACGGACGTTCTACGGATGTAAGCAATCAAAATCACCAGTCCCTCCGTTATTTCAGTAACTTAGAGACGGGAAAATGTGAGACTGCATCGGCATCATTGATCATTCACTGTCGCGATCCCTTGAATCGTTTTGATTTCAAGGGCCGAACTCAACCTCGGTGCTCACCCCATTGGCAGTGACACGAGAGAGCCACAGCACTAGAAAAATATGGATCAAGCCAAGCTGACCCCGAAATGATATCCGGTTGGCAGCTCTGTTTGGTACTGATGACCTGTGCTGTTATGCCATTATGCCAAACAAGCATTCCAAAATTCACATACGCAGGTGGCAGCAGTCCAAGGCACTTTTGTTCCTCCCACATCACAGATGTCGGACCATGCATCCTTCCCGGACATGGAATACCACTCTGCCATCCTTCGCGCTTTGAGATTAACCAAGCCACCATCCAATTGGTTTTCTCTCATTACGATGGCATGTTTATGATACTTCCTAAAATACAAACACCTGGTTTACAAGTACCTCGTCTACCACATAACACAGGCAGTTGAATTGTCGGGGTATCGCGCCCATGACGATAAGCTTTCTCGATCCGCACGCGAGGAGAGCGCAACTACCAATTGCGTCGGTATTTCAAACCTACTTCGTAGTCTATCTGCCCCCGATCCCCCATTAGCGGTGATAGTTTTTGTTAACTCGACTTGGCGTTCCTTTTGTGACTTGGCGTTCCTTTTGTTCTTTTGTCTGGGCTAAGAAACATTTAATGTGGAGAATGCCAAATTATCCGACGATCGGATCAAGTCGTCTCAGGTGGTCCTCAGCAACAATCAAAATCGTGTCAAATCGTGCCAAGTCGAAAACGTCCAGCCAATGATGAGGTAAGCCCGAAGTTCCCAAATGTCCCCCAACCCATTCGAGGCAAAATGGACAATGGAACCTTTGCTAGTCTCTTCTGAAAGTACCACCACCAGTTGCACCACCTCACAAACGACATCTGCATGGAACCCTGCCAGGAAAAGGTACCGGTCCATACGATTCCCTAGAACAGCATCACGGCGACCCACCTCGGAGCCCACTAAGCTCTTGACGGAATCAATCCCGCCTAGTGCCCGACGTCTCACGGCGTCTGCTACCGTTGTTTGGTGCTCGTTCTGGACGAGGTTTTGAATTCGCTTCCAATCCTTTCCGGACTCGTGATCTCTCATCGAAGCATGGTTCCGCACACGCGACCTGATCCTCCACATCTCCTTCCTGAATCGACTTTTGGCTCAAAGGACCCAATAAATCGCAAAACGGAAATAGCGTGCTGTGCTACCACGACATAGACTATTTCGTATGGAACTTCGGGAAGAGTGGGGGAGGAATTGTCACCCCAACTTTTGCCCACGGGGTTTTCCTTTCTTGTTTGACCTTATCTCGCGAGGCAGCCCACTTTTCTTTTACCCACGGAGCTGGGACTCTCCAGGGGCCCAATGCGATATCTCGTTAATATTAAGAGTTCGTCTGAGCTTCCTTCGTAGGTGGAGTAGCGGAACTCCAGCAGTTTACATGTGATTGATTCCCACACTTTTCGCGTTTATCTTTGTTAGTTTCTTCAATGCCCTGATGCGTTGATGCAGCATCGCGATGCCAGCCAAATATAAAAGCTCCCTCTTTCCTCCAGCTTAATCTAGACGAACAGGTTTATCGTTCCCAGCACCAGGGTTCACGAAATCATAGTTCACCACCTCGCCACAGCTGCACAGGTGCAACGCGAGGAAAGCAGATGCCGAATCTGCCACCACCCCAGGGACTTTTTGCCCCAACACGCCAAGCTATACCCCAGCCATTTCCCTTCAGGGAAACCACTGGTTTCAAGCTCCCCACATATCTACTCCAAATTGCTTCGCCACTTTTTTTCTTGGTGAAAAAAAGGTCCCTGAATTTGTAGATACGGTCCAAACCGGTTTAGTCCTGCGGGTAGTTGTTTGCAGAGCTAAAGAGCGATAGTGCCGCCCAGCGCGTTTCATCATTGGTGCCCAAAGTTCCAGGATCGCTTCGATTTTCTGGGGTTTAGCGTAGAGGTCTGAAGCTACTCCGCATAGATATCGCCCAAGACATATCGTACGGATACGTTGGCCGATGAACTTAGCTTTCATCCTACACTACGCCGAGAGTAGAAATCCGGGTCGGATATTACGGAGCGGATATCGGATCATCTAGTCTTCTCAGCCGATTTTGTAATCCTGCAGCCACATGAACTCTCCCAATGCATCCATGATGGCAATTTTGGTGTTGATGCCCTGATACCTACCTCCCCTAAGTGGTCGTGGTAGCGAGCCTACATATCTAAGTTGGTCTTAATGCGATAAAGCGCGTGGCGCGATGTGATAGATATCGGCTACCTACCGACAGTTTGGTCTTGTCCCGTTACAACCCGCCCTTTGCCGTAGCATATGCGTCGTAGTACATGATAAGCGTTGGCAAACTATCAGGACGTCGTCCCGCAGGGCGCGGTCATTCTTGGCAAGTCAATCTGAAAGCTCGACGCGACCATTAGCTTAGTTTATCAGTAAAGCATTAATACATCAGACGCCTTTGAACAATAATCAAAGCAGTTCAAAGGCACCCTTCTCTCCTTCTTTCCTCCACGTGCTTCTGATGCTCAGAGGTCGGATGCTGCCCACCCCTCCATGGTTCAATACGAAGGCAGAGCAATAAACGTCTGAGGTAAGTCAGACCCCCCCCTTGCTGACACCCCCCACTTTCTAACACCCCAAATTCCAATAGCCTAAATAGCTACTATTATCTTCTATCTTCTATTTCTTCTACATTTCACCTTACTTTAATATATAAAGCTACTAAACTATTACTTTTACTATTACTACTTTTAATAAAAATAATTTCTTCTTTTAAATTATTTCTTTTTAATTTTTATATATCCCTAATAGTAGTAAACTTTAAATTAAGACTTATTTTAACTTTCTTCTTTTTCTTAGGCTTTATTTTTATAATTTAGCTTTCTAGAGCTTTAACCTTAGTTTAAGTTATAGCTAATTAGATATTTTTTTTATTAA